ACAAGAGCACAGCCCAGAGGATCTGTGGAAGACAAAGAGCTGGTTTAGTAACAGTTCAGCCCCAGACATCTAGAAGTCTTAAGTGATGAGTCTCTGGAGAGTCTCCACTGATTTGAGAGATGCAGCAAAAAGAATAAACAATAGTATGAGATCTTAAGATACTGAGTTTGGGAAGTTTAGACTCTAATCTACCTTTTAGGTAATGACAGTAGGCTTCAGAATACAAAGGGTACAAAAAAGCCAAGGCATCCAATCCAAGTAAAACACCAGCAAAAGAAAAGATCCTTTAGAAAAAAAAAAAGGGGGGGGGGCACCTGGGTGGTTCCGTCATTAAGTGTCTGCCTTCCGCTCCGGTCATGATCTCAGGTGCTGGGATCGAGCCCCGCATCGGGCTCCCTGCTCGGCGGGAAGCCTGCTTCTCCCTCTCCCACTCCCCCCTGCTTGTGTTCCCTCTCTCGCTGTGTCTCTCTCTGTCAAATAAATAAGTAAAATCTTTAAAAAGAAAAAAGAAAAAAAAAGTCTGCCTTTGTTTTTTATAACCCTGGAATCTGGAAAAAAAATTTAAATTTTTTAGAAAAATGCCTACTAGCCTTTAATCATGTGAAAAGCTGCTTAAGCTCACTTTTAATCAATTTAAAATTTTTTAATTACATCAGAAAATTAATGCAAATGAAAGCCATATTGAGATACCAATTTTCATGTGTCAAATTGGTAAAAATTCCAAAATTAGATGACACTCACTGTTGGCAAGGCTTTGGAAAGAGGAACCCTAATAGTTGCTGGTGAGAATGCAAAATGATACAATCTCTCTGGAGGGCGGTTTGGCAATATCTATCAAATTGCATGTGTATTTCCTCTGTGATCCTGCAGTCTCACTTTTAAGACCTTTGTTCTACACAGACGTGTCATTTCATGTGTGCATTGCAGGTGTAATTTACACGGCTTTTTTTGTAGAAGTGCAGTTAAGAGAATTTTTGGGAACAACCACTGTGTCCATCTAAAAGGGATTTGTTTAAAAAAAAAAACAAACCACCCTGTGTTTTTCAGTGTATCCACACAATAGAATACTATACAGCTTAAAGAAAATAAAAAAGAAGAGAAAATCTGCACATATTGATTATATAGGAAGATCTCTAGGCTATATTGTAAAAGGAGGGTAGGGGGAGTACAGAGTCCTACCTTTTGTATAAGAAATGGTGAGAAATAATATGTGTATATTATATATTCTAAAAGGCTCTACAAGAAACTAATAAAAGTGGTTATCTAAAGAGGACTTCGGGAAACTAGATGGGAGTGAGACTTCCTGGTGTGCACCTTTTGATACACATAGTTTTGATTTTTGTACCATATGATTATATGATGTTTTCCAAAAAATTGTTTTTCATTTTAAGAAAATGTTCCTCCTAAACAGATGTCATTTGTTTTCAGAATTTTAAGAAGAGATATGTACAAAAGTGATTATGTTGAAGCAAGAAACATAATTTTAAAATAAAGAGAAATTGAATAAGTTTTCCTAATATACAAAATGTAGTCTTGTGGTGGGTAGGCCCTGTCTACGTCGTCTGGTTGTCTGTCTAGAAGAGGACACGTTGGCCCGCCACAGCTGCATTGCTGAACACAGGCTAGCAGAGAGGCTAGGGTGGCTGTCCTGTCTCCTGCATCTCCATTCCCTCTGCTGAGTGAAATTTTAGGAAGGGGTGGTTCAGTGGGATGCTGTGGTTCAGAACTCATGACCCAGAACAGACGTTCCTGTATTCATCTGCCTCTCACACTTTTAACTGTCTTACCAATTTTCACGTTAACTGTGAAAAAGGTTTTTTTTTTCTTTTTTAACTTTTTATTGTGGAAGTTTTCAAAATACACAAAAGTAGAAGAGTGTAATTGACTCTTGAATAATGGGTTTGAACTGCATAGGTCCACTTATACATGGATTCTTTTTTTTTTTTTCCCGATAAATACACTACAGGGCTGTAAATGTACTTTCCTTATGATTTTCTTACCGTTTTCTTTTCTCTAGCTTTATTAAAAGAGTACAATATGTAATATCACATACAAAATTTATATTAGTCAACTGTTGATGTTATTGGTAAGGCTTTTGGTCAACAGTAGTTAATAGTTAAGTATCTGGGGAGTCAAAAGTTGTACATGGATTTTCGACTGTGAAGGTGGGTCAGCATCCCTGACCCCTGTGTTGTTCAAGGGTCAGCTTTATAATGAATTCCCATCTACCTATCATTCTAGCTTCAATAATTAAAAATAATTTTGCCTTTAAAAAAATCTATCCCCTGCCCTTTTTTTCCCCCCTGGGACATTTTAAAGCAAACCTTAAATCCTGTCGTTTCACCCAGAGTTACTTCAGTATGTGCGTCTAAAAACTGAAGATCAAAAAAATGACACTACAGATCACAGTATCTTACCATGAAATTTCACTGTGTGTCCCTATTTTTTAGAAAGATAAAGGAAACTTCTCCTCTGTATTCACTAGTCTTTCCCTCCTCACTGGGATAATTTCCACTCAGCATACACAAAAGGTTGAATATCTCCTGTCTTAAAAAAAAAAAAAAAAAAATTCAGACCCAGGGAGCCTTCGTGGCTCAGTCGGTTAAGCCAAAACTCTTGGTTTTGCTCAGGTTGTGGTCTCGGTGTCGTGGGATCGAGCCCCAAATGGGGCTCCACGCTCAGCAGAGTCTGCTTAAGACTCTCTTTCCCTCTGCCCCTCCCCCCCCCTGCACGTGCATGCAGTCTTTCTCTCTCTCTCAAATGAGTAAATCTTTAGAACAAATTTTTTTCTTCTCCTTACATTCCCCTCCCACTGCTGTTCCCTTCCTCGTGCCTTTGAAGAAGATGTCAGTATCCATTTGCCTAATTCTGATTCTCAGCCAGTTCCAACTTGACCCCCATCACTACCACACCTTAAAGTGTTCTTGCTACGGTCACCAGTGACTTACATGGTAAATCAATCCAATGGACACCGGTTTTTATCTTACTTGCTATCTCTGCAGACTTCAGCACAGGTGACCTCTCCCTCCTAATACTAACAATGAATGATTATTAAGTGAGTACTTACTGTGTTCAGCTCATTATAGGAATTGTCTCATTTGATTTTTTAAAAAAGATTTTATTTATTTGACAGAAAGGGAGCACAAGCAGGGGGAGGGGCAGAGGGAGAAGGAGAAGCATGCTCCCCGTGGAGCAGGGAGCCTGATGTGAGGCTCGATCCCAGGACCCTGGGATCATGACCTGAGCCGAAGGCAGATGTTTAACCAACTGAGCCACCCAGTCACCCCTCATTTGATTGCTTAATATCTATTTAAGGTAGGTGCCATTATTCACATTTTATAGGTGAAGGAGCTGAACTTAGGTTGAGTAACTACTTATAAGTGGTAGAGCAAGGGTTTAAATTCAGGCACCCATCTGATCCTGCTGCCTCTATGAAACACTCTCATCACACCCTGCTATCCTGGGTTTTCTGGGTTTTCTTCCTCTTTCTCTTTCATTTTGGGGGGTGTGTCTGTGTGTTTTGCAGCTTCTCCTTCTTCCTGGCCTTTATATTTTAGAAGTTTCTCAGGCTTTCCTCCCAGGTCCTCTTCTCATTACTCCTCGGCAGTCTCACGCACAGCTATGTTTTCAATTACCATGTTGAAGGTGATGAGCTCCCAATATATATCTTTGGCTTAGAGCTGCTTCTGGGCTCTAGACAAACATATCCACCTGTCTCCTCAACAGTCCAAAACCCAACATACAAGGAATCTGCTTCCATATGTTGCCTTTTTTGCTTAATGATACAGCATCCACCAGCTGCTCAGCAGAAAGCTGGGAATGCTTTCTTAGCTCCCGTAAACAATCACCAAGTCCATTATTGTGTCTTGTATCTCACGCATTCATCTATTCCCCTAAGGAAAGCCCCCCATCTCTGCCCAGTTCTTCCATAGGATCCACCTATTATATATTCTCAGAGGACCTTGTACTTGTCTCTCTCCCCTTTACAACATTTTCCATGATTATATTCACTTGCTTGTGTTAACTTTTTGTTTTCATTCCTTTGGAAAGAATGGAGTTTACTTTTTTTATTCCTTTAGAACATTCAGTGAGGGTCCAAGACAGTCTTGTTTGTTATTGTATCCCCAGTTGCTAGCAGAGTGCCTGGCACAGAGGCATCATTAAATATTTGCTGAATGAAAAAACGAAGTTTGTTTTAGGAAAATCCCTAACAAGAATGATTAGTATGAAGGGTTAACTCCTGGAGACAGACTTACAAGATTTCTGTTGGTCAAGCTATAGAAGGGAGCTAAAGAATTGCCAGTAGGATTCAGAGAAGTGGGGTAGTTGGGGATGTGGCAGTTGCAGGACTTGCTGACTGTTGTTACATGTGTGAAGTAAGAGAAGGGGGGGTGTCAAGGATACAGCCGACTTCTAGCTTTGAACTGAGGGAATCGTGATTCCATTCCTTGAGAGGATCAGATATGAAGGGAAGAATACTGACTTTAATTTTGGACCTTGTTGTCTTGGAAAAACTCCTGTAGGACACCCAGATGGTGAGAACCAGTGGGCAATTATAAAAATGGAAATGGAATTCAGGAGAGAGATACAGGTTTCATCTCATCACTGAGGAAAAGCAGTAAAATACTATTGACAGTTCAAATGTAAACTGATAACAGTTTAATCACTGAGACTTTTTATCTTTGGCACAGTGATGGTAGATATTTTGGTACTTCTTAAATTGGGAGTGGATGTTGTAGGCATATGTGGTATAGAGAGGTGGGATTTTTACATTGATATCATTTAACATCCTGAGTGTGTTAACTAATAATAGCTGTGAACCTACACATGTATTCTTTATATTAAACAAGCAGATCTCATTTTAATTATGCTGTTTTGTTCGTGCTAATTTACACTTTTTTTTTTTTAACTTAAAAACAATAATGAAACTCCACCAGACTGTAAACTCCATGAGGACTTGTGGCATGTGATCTAATTTTTTTCCCCTCTTATTTCTCTAGGGCCTATTCCCTGGTGGATTCCAGTCAAGTGTCTACATTTCTGATTTCCATTCTACTTATAGTCTATGGTAGTTTCAGGTGAGTTTCTCTCAATATGTATGGATTTCAGTTGGAGGTGGAAGAAGCATTGCTCTGAAAGTGTGAAAACTTACTGCTCTGTGAAGAGAAACATGACTAACAAGAATTGAGTTAGAGTGGAATAATTCTGATACTTATTTGGTTGGCTGCTGTTAAAATACTTCATTTTAATGCAAATGTGTAAAAAATGCTTAAAAATTAAAATTTAAAATTGCTTTAATTGTGGTTCTGGAAATAATGACTCACATAAGTGTATTCATTGAAAAGATCAAGGAGAGAATCCTTGACAGTGATTCTACAGAGTTTGAAAGGGGACAGAAAGTTTTCCTTAATATAGAGGCATTGACATTAGTTGAGCCATATGCAGTTACCGATGGTCTACTCTTTTGACCTACAGAAATGATTTCATACAGTTCAACCTACTATTACTAGGATTGTGCCCAAGATCATTCACCAAGTATTCTCTCTACTGAACTTGGCAATGCTGAGACTGGATCCCCTTGAAATCCCTGTCCTACCAGGCAGCCATAGGAATGGAATACAAAGGAAAATCCAGAAGCTAGGTGCTTGCTTCTTCTTTTCCCTCCTTATTTGAGAGAGAGGAACTTTAGTGGTTGTATAACTCAGATGTTTTGTGGATTATATATTTACAAATGAAGGCTGCCTGAGAAATTTTAAATAGAGAACTTGAAAGGGGTTGGCAGTGATAAATGAAGTAATCAGGTGTAAGGATTTTGAACTGCCCAGTTTTATAGCTGTACTTGAATGAGTATTTGATAAAATCAGACCTCTAGGCTTTATCTCATCACTGGGTAGAACAGGTAAAATACTACTGATAATTCTGGTATCAGCTGATGAAAGTTTTAATCATTGAGATTTCTACTGAGAGCCCTAGGTTCATAACCACTCTTAGGAAGCATTAATCAAACCAGAGCAATTTAGAACCTTATCAACATAATCTTGATATTTTATATCTATACTTTGGACAAGTTTTTGATTTTTTTCTCTTTGAATATATAGTGTATCAACATTTCAAAAACTACTTTGTAATTAAAAACAATCTTTTAGGGCACCTGAGTTGGCTCAGTTGGCTAAGCGACTGCCTTCGGCTCAGGTCATGATCCTGGAGTCCCTGGATCGAGTCCCGCATCGGGCTCCCTGCTCGGCAGGGAGTCTGCTTCTCCCTCTGACCCTCCCGACCCTCCCCCCTCTCATGCTCTGTCTCTGTCTCTGTCTCTCAAATAAATAAATAAAATCTTAAAAAAAAAAAAATTGGTTAAAAACAATCTTTTAGACTCAAAATTCTGATACTACTTTCATTAGTAGAAATGACTTTTTGTTTGGTGTATAATTTATATACCGTGTACATTTTCATATGTAAATCATTTATATTCTGATTATTCTTACCTAACAAAAAATGTTTTCCATAATCTTCATACTAATTTTTAGTAATTTGATATTTCTTTGTGTTACTGTCTTACTCCACTATTATTGGACATGTGGATTGTTAAAGTGACCATCTTTTTTTTTTTTTTTTTTAAAGAATTTATTTATTTATTTATTTGACAGAGAGAGACACAGTGAGAGAAGGAACACAAGCAGGGGGAGTGGGAGAGGGAGAAGCAGGCTTCCCGCTGAGCAGGGAGCCTGATGCGGGGCTCGATCCCAGGACCCTGGGATCATGACCGGAGCCGAAGGCAGATGCTTAACGACTGAGCCACCCAGGCGCCCCTGAAGTGACCACCTTTTTATGTGTTCTTTGGCTGGTTAAATTATTTCCTTAAGACAAGTATCTAGAAGTTGAAAAACTTTGTCAGAGAGTGTGAATTGGCTCTTACTACATACATATGGCCATATTGTTTTCCAGAAAGGTTATATCAATTATATGACTGGGCAAATTTTAAACAAAATTTTATGTAATAAATGTAGAATTATACAGATGAAAAGGATTTCTCTAGTCAGCTCTCTTATATTACAAATGGAGGAACTGAAGCCCAAAAAGATGAAGTAACTTGACAAAGATTACACAACTGTTTGCTAACAAACTCTGGATTGGAACCCAGTTCTTAATACTTCTGGTCCAGTACATTATGTCTTTTATACTTTAAGGCATTTAAATTGACCTCACTGAATAAGTCTGGAAGTGTTTTCTTCTGTTTCCTGGAAAAGATTATTCAAAATTGTGTTATTTCTTCTTTATGTATATGATAGAACTCACCAGTGATACCATCTAAAGCTGGGCTTTTCTTTGTGGGAAGATCATTTTTGTTTTTTCCTACTTTGTTCACTACTATCTTTTTTTAAGTATTAGGACTGTAAAAAAAATTTTTATTGTGATAAAATATAAAATTTGCTATTTTTAACCGTTTTTAATTATACAGTTCAAGCCATAGCAGGTTGGAGCTTTTTTTAAGCGCACGTTATTGTTCTTTTATTACAGCCATTTTAGTACTAGGATGTGAAATGATACCTCACTTTGGCTTTGATTGCATTTCCCTAATAACGCAGATTAGAATGTTGAAAAGATGTTGAGCCATCTTTTCATGTGCTTATTGGCCATATGTTTTTCTTCTTTGGTGAAATGTCTATCAGATCTTTGGCCATTTATAAATTGGGTTGCTTTTGTTATACTGAGTTGTAACATTTCTTTAAATATTCTAGATACAAGTTCTCTCCTAGTCATAGGATTTACAAATGTCTTCTCCCAGTCTCTGCCTTTATATCTTCTTAATACTGTCTTTCATAGTGTAAGCATCTTAAATTTTGATAAAGTCCACCTTACCAACTTTTTATGTCATGTTTTTGGTGAAAAATTGTTTCCTAATTCATGGGCACAAAGAGTTTCTCATGTTTTCTTTAAAAATTTTTCTAGTTTTATTGCTTTCATTTAAGTCCATAATTCATTGTGAGTTAGTTTTTCTATGTGGCATGAAGTAAAATGTAAATTCATCTTATGAACATGGCTGTCCAGTTGTCCCCACACCATTTATTGAAAAGTCTATCTGTTACCCCATTGAATTGCCTCGGCACCACTGTGAAAACACAGTTGACCATAAATGTAAGGGTTTATCACTGGATGCTGATTTCTGTTCTTTGGTCTATATGTCTCTCCTAGGACAGTACCACAGTGTCTTGATTGCCGTAGCTTTTATAATAACTGTTGAAATCCAGTTGTGCAAGTCTTAAAACTTAGTACTTTTTCAGAATTTTAGCTACTCTGGGATCTTTTGCATTTCCACATAAATTTAGATTTAGCTGGTCATTTTCTACAAAAAAAAAAAAAAATTCTGCTGGAATTTTGTAGGTATTGTTGATCTACAGATCATTTGGGGAAGAATGGCTCTCCTAATATTCTTGTTCAGGGACCTGGAATGTTTCTCCATTTACTTAGATCTTTACTTTTTCTTAGTAATTCTTTGTAATTTTCAGTGTATAAGGCTTGCACTTCTTTTGTTAAGTACGTCATTCTTTTTGATATTCCTAAGTATTTTGTTCTTTTTGGATGTAATTTTTGATGGAATTTTTTTCTTGGTTTCATTTTGGATTTTTCGTTGCTGAGTATGTAGAACTTGCCATTGATTTTTGTACATTGATCTGGTATCCTGTGGCTTTGATGAACTCATTTATTGTGCTAATCGTTTTTTTTATACAGACTCCATAGGTTTTTCTACACACAGGATAATGTCTGCAAATAAAGGCAATTTTGTTTCTTCTTTTCAAATCTGAATGCCTTTAATTTTTCCTCCTCCTTCTTCCCCCTCCCCTTTATTGTATAGGATAGAACCTCCAGTACAGTGTTGAATAGAAAGTGAAAAGAGCACACATCCTTCTTTGCTTTGTTCCTAATCTTAAGGGGAAAACATTTAATTGTTTACCATTAAGTACAGTGTTAGCTGTAGGTTTTTCATAAATGCCCTTTATCAGTGAGGAAACTTCCTCCTGTTTCTAGTTTGTGGAGAGTTTTTATCATGAATGGGTTTTGTCATATATTTTCATGCATTTAGTGAGCTAGTCATGTGGCTTTTATCCATTGTTCTATTAATATGGTATATTATTATTTTTTTATTTTTTTTAAAGATTTTATTTATTTTTGAGAGAGAGAGAGAGAGCACAAGCAAAGGGAGGGGCAGAAGGAGAAGCAGACTCCTCACTGAGCAGAGAGCTCGATGTGGGACTCGATCCCAGGACTGTGGGATCATGACCTGAGCCAAAGGCAGACGCTTAACTGACTGAACCACCCAGGCGCCCCTAGGTATATTAATTTTTTAATGTTGAACCAACTTCGTATTCCTGGGGTAAATCTCACCTCATGATATATAACTCTTCTAAATGTTGCTCATATTTTGTTAAAGATTTTTGTGTCTGTATTCGTGAGGGATATTGGTCTGTACTTTTCTTGTTACCAGTCGTCTTATGACTTTGGTACCTGGATAATATTGGGCCTCATTGAATGAGTTGGGAAGTGTTTCCTCCTCTTTCATTTTCCTGAAAAGACTGTGTTAGAATTGTATTATTTCTTCTTTAAATATTTGTTAGAGTTTATCTGTCTAAAGCCAGGCTTTCCATTGTGGGAGGCTTTTTTTGGTTTTGTTTTTTTCCTACTTGGTTCAATACTTTATTCCTTCTTCTTTCTTTCTTTCTTTTTTTTTTTTTTATTAGTAGGGGTTTTTTTTAAACAGCTTTGTTGAGATATACATAGATAAAATTCTATGTAAAGTGCACAATTCAGTGGTTTTAGTATATTTACAAAATTGTGCAACTATCACCAATTTTAGAACAGTTTTATCATCCCAAAGGAAACCTTGTATGCATTGGCAGTCATTCCCCCTTTGCCTTCTCCCTTGCTCTAGGCAACCACTAATCTATTTGCTGTCTCTATATAGATCTGCCTATTCTGGAAATTTCCATTTAAGTAGAATCATCCAATACATGGCCTTTTGTGACAGTCTTCTTTCACTTAGCATAATGTTCTTAAAGTTTATTCATGTTATAGCATGTGT